ACAACTAGAACACAAGATGTGAATTGAATCTGGCCGTTTATTTTAGTAAACGACATTTGTTATTTGGTACAAAGTTTATCATTTAAATTTAATTAACAAGTCTTAGATGGGACTCATAATCTGCCACAATGATTTCTGCACAACTTATGCATAAATAAAGTAAAGCAAAAGTGATGCAAAAATCATCCCCCATCCGAAGCCCTCTCAACTTCTGTCGTTGTAGGGTACACTTTAAAAATTTATTGGCACTTAACATTAATCCTTAAATCAATTTATTCCAAAATTTTCCGAAAAAGAAGCTTTTTCTTAGTCTTCTTATGTCGCCTGACAAACCATAGTAAGGTTTATCACCATATATCACTTCTGACAAAAATGCTATCCTGCACACAGTGTAAACATTACTACTGGTTATTTTTGCTACATTAATATACTTTATATCCGTAATGGGGGAGGAGAGGGGCTCTGTGTCTCTGTGTTTACAATTCTACTGTGAAAAGTTAACAGTGGATGAGGTCACTGATGCCATGGTCGACTGGTTTTAATTCAATTTCAATTGAATTGATTTCTACCATTTGGTGTTCCATGTATAACGCTGTGCGATATAAAAAAAATCGGGACATTAATTTTGTGGGTGATGATCGCGAACATTTATATATTCTTTGAAAATTGGTATGTTCTAAAACATGAAATTTCAGTGTCAAAGCACAAGGAATCTTGCGTTTAATCGCAGCAATGTGTGAGTACACACTAATCTTCACAATTAAAAAGAATTTATCAAGTTACCTTGCTTTGCACCAAACGTATACAGATAATTGTTTTTTTTTCAATTGCTAATCATTCATTGGGGACTATCTGGATTGGTTGCCAACGTTTTTATTGAAAAATCAGTCAGGTGTGAAATTCTCGAAGAACAAAAATCCTTCTTTTAACTCGATATTTGTTCAGTTGAATTTCGTAACAGTCTTTATGCACTATCACAAAATCTGTATCACTTGAAAAATCATCAGCCTTGGTTTCAAATTGTATAGGTTAAAGCATTGCAGCGTCTGTCGAAAGGAGAGGCAAAGAGCTTTTGCCATGCTCTACATCGGTACATCGTGAGCTTGCAAGGCGGTTTTTAAACCCCACTGAGTCATTTGACCCCTTATTTAATATTTTATTTTAAAATTTGTTAAGTATATTTATAGTAACAGCAACATGACCTTGATCTTTGACAAAGTCTTTACTGCATGCCATCTATTAGGCATTACGGTTACAAACCACGCTATACAGACAAAATCATGATTTGATTAGAATATAATATTTTTCTCCGCTGATTGATATAATCAACCATATAATTGTGGTTAGTTGATGATGGTTAACTCGTACGGATGAAATTTTATGTAAAAAAGGAACAAAACGTATATCAATTTGACATCACGTTTCAAGAGAAGGCTATGATTATAATCTGACGAAACTTGTGTTACTGTTTATAGAATTTCTACATGATGTCAGTTTTATAGAAAACTCGAAAATATTATATTCAACTGGCAAGGTTAATTACTCAATATTCGCAAAATGATGCGTTTCTCTCTTTTTAAATGTAAACACTTATATATAATTCTGCAATTCAGAATTTAAAATGCCGAAAGTAATGCAGTATCAACACCATAAGTTCTGAATGCAATCCTCGTCAATACGTGATGGTATCGGTAAGTAGAGTAAACTTATGAAGAACAGGATTGGGGGTACAGTTTTGAATTAGTGGGGATATCACCACTCAAAAACGCACAAACTCAAGTATTACATATAAGTATATATCTACATTCAAGTCAACAATGTTCATTGTTCAAACGAATTCGTATTTTGACCTCGACAATATGTAAGATAAACTTCCGTTTATCATTAACCCTTAAAAGGTCAAAAATATTTCCCGTTTCGCTTTTCACAGTTATGCATTAGAAAGGCAGAAACAGTGGGATATGATATACACTGATATTTTGCATATCATTACTACAGCACCGCTAACTTTATTATTATATCGTTTAACTCTGGGACTTCGCGCAAAAGTACTGCTGATCAACATTAAATAAAATATTATTTAAGTATTTGTTGGATTGAGGGATTGGTGTGCTTTCAATTCAGGCTAAATTTACTGTTTCCTATTTCTATGGATTTTGATACATGCAGGGTTGCATTAACATTATAGTGTACATTATGTTAACTAATTCAATGCCGTTTACTATACTGATGGTAAATTTAGTGTTAAGGGTTATATTAACATTATAGTGTATATTATGTTAACTAATTCAATGCCATTTACTATACTGATGGTAAATTTAGTGTATTCAGTGCCTAGTTGGCTTCGTTGTTCTATTAACTGTATTTACTGTCTTCAGGGTATTACTTAATTACCTACCGAAGTTTACATTTAATTATGATATAATTTCAACTATTCTGATGACAACATTTACTTTATTCAAGGTGACATACTACATATTGTGTGTTATATTTACAATATTCGTGCTTACATTTACTGCATTCGGATTAACAATCACACTGTTCAAAGTTATATTTACACATCAAGGTTATATTTACTGTATTCAAATTAATATTCAAAATAATCAGCTTTACATTTACTGTATCCAAGTTTACATTTACAGTGTCAAGGCTTATATTTACGGTATCCAACTTTACATTTACAGTAAAAAGGCTTATATTTACTGTAACAATATCAAGGCTTATATTTACTGTATCCAAGTTTACATTTACAGTATCAAGGCTTATATTTACTGTATCCAAGTTTACATTTACAATATCAAGGCTTATATTTACTGTATCCAAGTTTACATTTACAGTATCAAGGCTTATATTTACTGTATCCAAGTTTACATTTACAGTATCAAGGCTTATATTTACTGTATCCAAGTTTACATTTACAGTATCAAGGCTTATATTTACATTTACAGTATCCATATTTACTTTACATTTACAGTATCAAGGCTTATATTTACTGTATCCAAGTTTACATTTACAGTATCAAGGCTTATATTTACTGTATCCAAGTTTACATTTACAATATCAAGGCTTATATTTACGGTATCCAACTTTACATTTACAGTATCAAGGCTTATATTTACTGTATCCAACTTTACATTTACAGTATCAAGGCTTATATTTACGGTATCCAACTTTACATTTACAGTATCAAGGCTTATATTTACTGTATCCAACTTTACATTTACAGTAAAAAGGCTTATATTTACGGTATCCAAGTTTACATTTACAGTATCAAGGCTTATATTTACTGTATCCAAGTTTACATTTACAGTATCAAGGCTTACATTTACTGTATCCAACTTTACATTTACAGTATCAAGACGTATATTTACTGTATCCATGTTTACATTTACAGTATCAAGGCATATATTTACTGTGTCCAGTTTACATTTACAGTATCAAGGCTTATATTTACTGTATCCAAGTTTACATTTACAGTGTCAAGGCTTATATTTACTGTATCCAAGTATACATTTACAATATCAAGGCATATATTTACTGTGTCCAGTTTACATTTACAGTATCAAGGCTTATATTTACTGTATCCAAGTTTACATTTACAGTATCAAGGCTTATATTTACGGTATCCAAGTTTACATTTACAGTATCAAGGCTTATATTTACAGTGTTCAGGGTTACCGTACCGATTATTATAATACTTAATTCAGTACATATAATGTATTGTGGATCTGCCATTACTTTTCTCAGTTATGGTACAAAAGACAGACAAGTTCTTATCCATTTTCAGTAAAATTTCAGAAGAAGATACAACAATTGGTTAAACATCAGAGCTAGCTATTTCGCTCCTCTAGGATTCGTCAAGTCTGTGCTATTATATGCCCTCGGGATTCTATCTATTACATGCTCAAAGATATCGTGATGATTATAATTGATTTGCTGAGTAAACAGGTATTTTTGGATTTATCATAAGAGGAAGTAATGTTTTAATGAAGAAAAAAATAAATTAAAAAAGAAATAAAATAGGGTGTAGTCGAATTATATGCGACTATTTGTCTCGGTTAATATTTTTACAATAATGTTTTTTTAATTAAAACATACATGTGAATAGTTTAGACCCCATCACCGAGATACACACCAACAATCCTCACTCAAATAAGTAAGTAACAGGACATATCCTGAATGTCGGCCATTATCTATAAATCACAAATATGGTAATTCAAATAACGATTGTTATTAGAGAGTTCTACTTCCTGTTTCCGTGATTCATCCACAAGATTCAGCTCAACCGTATCAAGTTATACAAGGACAGCGAAATAAAATATGATAACCAGTTTAAAAAGTCTAGATCTTAACTGCTAATGGACCAGGCCGTCAAAATGCAGACAGAACTCGTCCCTGTTAAAACAAAGATCGGGACTAAACTGCCCGTGGACCAGGCTAAAAAATGTAAAGTAAGGACACTTATATGTTAGAATAGTAAATCGGGACTAAACTGCCAGTGGACCAGGCTATCGAAATGTATATCCAGGACACTAATATGTTACAACAATGATCGAGACTAAACTGCCCGTGGACCAGGATATCGAAATATATCGTCAGGACACTAATATGTTAGAACAGTGATCGGGACTAAACTGCCAGTGGACCAGGCTATCGAAATGTATATCCAGGACACTAATATGTTAGAACAGTGATCGAGACTAAACTGCCAGTGGATCAGGCTATCGAAATATATCGTCAGGACACTAATATGTTAGAACAGTGATCGGGACTAAACTGCCAGTGGATCAGGCTATCGAAATATATCGTCAGGACACTAATATGTTAGAACAGTGATCGGGACTAAACTGCCAGTGGACCAGGCTATCGAAATATATCGTCAGGACACTAATATGTTAGAACAGTGATCGGGACTAAACTGCCAGTGGACCAGGCTATCGAAATGTAGTTCGGAAGAATATTAAACATGAAATCAGGATCATTCTTGTGCTAACTTCACCATGGCTGAGTCTACAATTTCTCCCCACAAAGTCATCGCTTCGCGTTACTTTGACCATATTAAGTGGGGAGGACCTTGTCCGCAATTGAGTGTTAATCTGGCTGAGGTAAGTTTTCTGAAGAATTTTGCTGGTAGCTTATATAACAAATTATCACAACTACGAGCCTCACTCTGTCTAACAATTTTACTATAGCATAATTCTATACAAGTGATGAGCTAATATCTCAGGATTGATATTTTGAAAATAGTTCCTCTGTATAATTCTAAGACAAAGGTAAAGAAATCAGTCATGACGTTGTCATATTGAATGTTTTTTTTTTTTTTTTTTCAATGTATGTAAGTTGGTAAATACAAATAACTTAGGTCGGTCAGTAAAAATGCATCAATGTGTCATTACAGGAGGTGTTTGTTGAAAAAGATCTGGAAAGAATGTCATTGTTACTGACACGTATCATTGATGATATTTACGGAACGGAGGAAATGGTACAAAAAAGGAGAAAAGAGTGGCTCTTCGCTACAAGTATCGAAAATGTGAAAACTAATGATGCAATTTTAATCCTTGCTGGCAGTAGAGGGGATGGATTTTCAATATATTCTGCAGACACAGACATGATGTGTATTATACCAAACATAGTTGCAGTTGCTGATTTCGATTTATACCATAATCCTAGCGACAGTGTAAACAAGACTTTATTGTTAACAAAGGAAATTGATTGCAGGCCAGGATATGTAGCATTAGAGGTGGTGCAGATTAGCGACGACCTGTCGACAGATTTTCTAGCAGCTCTCGTTCCTGTTGGAGATTCAATATTTCTGTCTAGCGATATTTTCAGAGAAGAATTTATAGACACATATATTCAAAAATCTTTGTACTCTAATGGACCATGTGTGACTTACACATCTACACATGAATCAATTGATGTAGCATTTGCGATTCCACTGGCTCATTGGCCTAAAGAAGGCGAAGAATGGAAAAACCGGACTCGTTTTCATGGATGGCCAACTCAGTCAATAACTGACAGGATTGTGCGTGAAGGATGTCATCTAGTTCCGGTTGGTGATAAGTGTTCAACAGACACACTACTACAGTGGAGGATCTCGTTTGTCTATGCAGAACAAATCTTGGTGCGTTCTTTCACTCACTCACAGTTTAGAATATATGGACTACTTAAACATTTTCTTAACCAGATCAAAGGTTTGCTGGTCCACATTACAGGAGACGATGATATACTTTGTTCGTATTTCCTCAAATCAATAATATTTTATGCAGTTGAAAATACTACATCTAGTTTATGGACAGAAAAAAACACATTGATATGTATACGATTTTGTCTCGCTGTTTTAATTGCATGGGTCAAAGCAGGATACTGTCCGAACTACTTTGTTCAAAACAATAATTTATTTCAGAGAAAAGTTGTAGGAGAAAACCGTCAAAAACTTTTACATTTTCTAATGGATTGCTACGACTTGAATTGGCCCCGAACGTCTTTGTCAGTAGAATCAGTCAAACTCTTAGACCTCGAAACTCTGCTGCTGAAAGACCAAGAAAGGAGCCGTCGTCAGTACCGTGAATGTGAAACGGATTCAGACGTATTCTTGCGACGCCTGTCATCATTTTCTTCGGAGTATACAGATTTGAAGAGACTGGGGGTATATTTCCAAGGCTTGACTGTATCAGGAACGGATGTTGCTGAATTCATAGCCTATTATGCAGTTGTAACCAGACTCTGCAGTCTTGCGAGTACACCACTGAAAGAATACAACACCAGCTCTATTAACAAGCAGAAATATAGAGCAATGAAGAAAGCCAAACACTTGCTGGTGCCGAAAGCGTCATTTTGTACCAGCCCTGGACTTCTGTTGTTGGCTACTTTCCACTTTCTTATCGGTGATTACCGTAAAGCACTTTTAATGAGTGCTGATGTGATTTCAACTTCAAAAGTTTACGCGGATAAGGGAACGCAGGAATGTGAGGAAAAGTGCCAAAGACTGAACCCCGGATTAGAAACCACGTTGTACCAAAAGATGAGATCATGTGTTTACCCAAGTGAAGAATTTACCAAAAAAAACATTGCTCTATGCTTACCTCATTTGCACCTTGAAATTACTAGATGTAAAAGCTCGCTGCAGATTCCTCCGTTAGCGTACGCGACATTCCTATCCTTTCTGTGTCACCATGAACTTGGCAACTCCAGAAGACGTGACATAGAGCTTCATAACTTACAAGCGGCGAGCCACGACCCTGAACAAGGAGGACACCGTAACTGGATAGTTCATACAATACTAGGAATCAGTTTCCAAATTGTAGGGGACAAACATATGGCAATCAGGTCGTTTACAGATTCACTGGAGGTGATGCCGGATAGTAATCCCGCAAAAGAAAGATTAGAGGCTCTTCGCAACAATTATTAATGTGTGATTGTATAGTCATACAAGCACACATATAGGGAAATTGATAATGACGTATGAACTATCGCACAGTTCTGTAATATTTCAAACCTTTTTAATTCCCACAATGTTTTGTATAACGTTTCTTAATCAAACATTCAGAACGATTGTCCATTCAACACTGTTATCCTAAAATGTAAGTGTTTGATTTCTCCAATAAGTAATCTCTGTATTTCATTGTCGGCGAATTTTAAACTCCACTTAAGATATTTATTTGTATTCAACAGATTGCATCGGTGCTTATTCCGGAATTATGCTACTATGGTTTTTGTATGATTGACGCGTTATTCAGTGAATGTCATTTGATAGTGTTTGTGTATAACACGTGTAGTAAATACTATACACACAGATCTCTATATCTACATTACATTTAAAGTCATGACAATCTCCAGAGTATTACAACATAATACATGTACCTCCCTGTCTTAACTTCTCTCTCGATAATTTTGGATTTTCTTTAGTCGCCTCCTAGGTTTCATAATAAAGGCCTATAGCATCACTGACCAGTGTAGAAGGATGAAACGACTGCATGATGTAACATCACTGACGAGTAAGTCTAGAAGGACGAAACAGCTGTATGGTGTAGCATCACTGACGAGTCTAGAAGGTGAAACGACTACATGATGTAGCATCACTGACCAGTCTAGAAGGATGAAACGACTGCATGGATGTAGCATCACTGACGAGTCAGTCTAGAAGGATGAAACAGCTGTATGGATGTAGCATCACTGACGAGTCAGTGAAACGACTACATGATGAAACAGTTGTATGATGGATGTAGCATCACTGACGAGTCAGTCTAGAAGGATGAAACAGTTGTATGATGTAGCATCACTGACGAGTCTAGAATTATGAAACAGCTGTATGATGTAGCATCACTGACGAGTCCTAGAAGGACGAAACAGCTGTATGATGTAGCATCACTGACAAGTCCACGGAGGACGAAACAGCTGTATGATGTAGCATCACTGACGAGTCTAGAAGTATAATACAGCTGTATGATGTAGCATCACTGACGAGTCTAGAAGTATAATACAGCTGTATGATGTAGCATCACTGATGAGTCTAGAAGGATGAAACATATTTATGTTGTTGCATCACTGACCAGTTCTAGAAGGACGAAACAATTGTATGATGCAGTTTACTTGATTGTTTGGCTCTGCTGAATATTATCTATAATTGTATTAAATGGTTCTATTTACTTTTTCAAGATTTTTGATGAACTTAGTTAAGGCAAATTATAAAACGATCATGATTTAATACTTTTCATTGCCTAATAATTGAATATATTTATTTATTTATCTGATAGACATGAATAAAAACAAGAAATTACATGTCAACATATTCAGTCCAAACTCAAATTCGGTCAAACCAGGACAAAATATTAACAATGATTCCTGAAAAAGTGAAACACTTGCAAAGTAGATCTTGGCCAATCCAAGTAAGTTATGTCTTGCTCTGAAATGAGAGCAAGGTAAACAACAATGGCGCCAACAGGTAAACAAACGAGCATCAAACACGTCCAGCTTAATGACGGCCATAAAACTTCCTCTACCTGCATCTTTTGACATCCTGTTTTCCGTCAGTTGACGACTTGTTGCACGATAATCGTGATAATGGAACATACCCTTCAATATCAACTCAACTACGACCTGATAACACCTCAGGTTGGGATGACGGGGTGTTGCTTTCCAGAAATGGAAATCCTCACGCTTATGATAAAATGATTGACAGCTGCCAATGTTAGTTTCGTTGTAGAAAAAGATCTAGAAAATTAAGTAATGTTGAAGATTCTGTCATGTCCTTGATTTCAGATTCAGCTGGTGGTAATAATGCTATTTATAAGTAGATGTACATAATTAAACTATCAACCTCACGATCGTATCGTTTATCATTAAACTCCTAACATCTTCACCCCTGATTACTTCTTTTATAGTCCTACATACAGTATTTCTCGCGCCACCTATTGCGGCATTAAGTACTGTTCTTGTTATCGTAAAATTTAATAAAAAAAGAAAATATGCGGCATTTTATGAAAAATTACCACTTTCTGTTACAAAATAAAACTTTGAAGACATTAAAGATATGCAAAAGGGTAATATTCATTGCCTTCGGTTATACGTAGAATATTTGCATAAAAAACGTTTTTTGCGATAACAACTGTAATTTATCAACTATTATGGTCGGCGATGAGAAATACTATCTGGATTATCGCTGTTAATATTTTGTATTTATATCACATGTTTGAATGATATTACATCCTTGTCATAACAATCCAGTAACAATTGATATAGGCCAATGTTTCAATCTTTATTGTAAATAAACGCGGAAGAATATCGGATACAAACTTGTACACATATGTTGCTATGTACGCTGTCTATATTTATGTCAACTATTTGTCAGAAGGAGATGGTATGCAGTTGTAAATATATCACAGACGTTTGTCGTTTCAGAAATCGATACGAAGTCTTATTTCTTGTTGCTGAGCTAAGTTATTCCAAAGTAATGTCTATATATATATAGTTTAACAAATATGTAAATGTGCTACAACTTATTTATCTTAAACCGAATTTATTGTTTTATTATATTGTCAAATGGATTGGTCGGTAAGTTTTAACAAAGGTAAAATGGAACTCTCCCTACATACAGATGTTTTAAATGAAATAGCACATGATAGTCACGTGATTAAACATTGGAATGTGAAATAGGAAGAGATTAGACGATCGATGTATCATGTTTAGTACTGTACAGCATAACAAAATGACAGTTGTTAGTGATGCAAAGTACTCAAGGAAATCAAAATTGACCAAAAAAATGTGCAAACTCAGATGTCGGAGACAGTGGAACCGTACGACTAACAAGGCGTAATATTTTTATTTCTGTAAAACAATAAACCTAGTTAAATTCCGAAGTGTTTTAATATATTTACAATTTCCACTGTTTGCCCCTCGATAAACTAACCAGTAGACACTACAGTTTATAACCCAATAACTTTAGTCTGGAACGTGAGCCTCATCACCGCGCATGAATATATGTAAACAATCAACATGGAAAACCACGTGTCAATGTTTTCACGCCGTTGACCTTGTCACACATGTATAGTGTATTCCATCCGCAATCGGATAATATCTTAGAACACGCCGAGTCATATAATACTGACTGATTATCTATCAAAAAAGATAATATGAATTTATGTAAATGTTTTAAAATATAAAACAAAGTTGTTTAACTGAAATAAATATGTTTGAAATGCAGGAACTATTTTCTGTTATTGTTTACGAGAAAAAGGGCGGGACATAGCTGTCTCTCAACGGCTTTGTCAGTGGCTGTTCCGTTTAAGATGGAGATGACGTCCAGATACCTGCAAACGACTACATCTACGATTAATTTCATATATCTGAATTTTCATTAATTTTAAAGTAAAGAGAAAATATCGTAAATATAAGTATTAACCTTTGATTTTGTTTAGTTTATGAGCTCATAAATGGAATGGAGAACGAGATAAATTTAGCGTTTACGCAATTTATCTCATTCTCCATTCCATTTATGAGCTCATAAACTAAACAAAATCAAAGGTTAATCCTTAAATAAAATATCAACTACTCTTCAATCATATATGTGTAGTAACTACCCCGCGATGTACTGTTGAGGGAACGTCGATAGACGTTGGAGATCCCAGCGTTGTAATCGTGATCACAGCAGAAAACAAAATCAATTTTTTAAACATACTTCCAGATTGTTTATCAACAAAATCAATATTTAATCAAATAGAAAAACAAAACGATAAAAATGTCGCTTAACGTGTGTCCGACATAATTTCGGATGTTTTACAATATCTAAAGTGGATTTGTTTAAAGAACCAACTCGATGCATTCCGATCCTCATGACTGCAAGACTGTAGACTAAGAAAACATTTGTTCTCTAGGCATGTCTCCAAAGAAACAGGTTTGAATCAGTATCAATTACCTTCTATAACAAACATTACCACAATCTGTCACCGACGAGATGACTGTAAAAAATACAACTGAATTGTTTGTCGAGGTACGTGAACATTTATCTGGCGTCCCCGCCATTACAACTAGTCACCCTTAATATCGATGATGGCGGGGCTTACGTGTCTACCCACAGTCAATACCACTCAATAGTCTGTAGAGTTCGGAGATTGTTTACAGATTTTGATACAAATTCTACCAATAAATGTTTTGTACATCTCAGCAATAGATTTGACGTAGAGTCTACAAATTAAGCTGTAGACTTGGTGATTTATAGAAGAAAGTGTTTTTTAGAACATCACCATATCTTTCTGTTCTCTGTCAACAGTATAGGATACACTGTTATCAACACCAAGACGCATTAGTAAATAAATGTGCAAAAGCAGCATATATCTGGAAAGGTCAGTCACAGTGCAAATGTACATGTACTCAATATATATATATATATTGTCCAGCTTATGTGAACATTGTCCGGAACATCACTCCTTGCGTTTATCATTGTCATGAAAGTGGCCGTATTTGTACTGACCACAGCAATATCCCTGTGTATAATTGGAAGCATTTATGGAGTTCGTCAGCCTTTCGGCTCCTAAACAAATGAATAACAAAACGAATCAGCTAATACCTACCTATCAGGCCAAGCAGATCGATACTTCCCATTTACATCCTTGTTGAAACACTACCTCTCAGTTAACCTTGAACACATTCACTAAGGCCTTTACCTAAATGATCTTAACACCTGCCTCAAATCAAACGAAACGCTTTGCATTACTCCAGGTAATGAAAGACGATTAACATGTTGTGGTTGAATGCTTTTTAAATGAAAAATAAGCAGTAAGAAATCCATGTTAGCCTTACGGGCAACATTGGTTTCATTGCGATCAAACGAGCAAGACTTTCTAAAAATTGTAATCTACATTTATTATATTCTTACTCCACGAATGAGCGACGAGAAAAAGCAAACATTCCATAAACTTGTAAGTATATATTAATCATTATACGATCTAAAATGTTTTATTTCTATTATCATTTATTCAATCTTTCCATCAAAATTTTTTTATTAGATTTGTAAAATGATGCACAGCGTATGATGATTTTCCATTACGTGTTGTCAGTCCATCATACAACAGTGTCAACAATTTCTTCTTTATCGTGAAATGTTGTGATTTTTTTTCTCTTCGATAAAGATATCTGTTTATGAATAACATTCCCATGACGTTTTCTTCCGTATGATAAAGGATGAGAATATTTTCAGAAAAATGGTTTGTAGCAGATCTTTTGGGATCGGTCAGACCCCTTAATGGCGCTGAACACGGACATGAAGAGAGTTGGGAATTTGGACAAGAAGTATTTGCAGGGTTCGTCTAGTACGTTTCTTGCTTCTTCAGACCTGAAAAAAAATGTAGACAGCAATATAAGGTCATTTTAAACGGAGACATATCAACACAGAAATCTTAATTAGATGAATTAGTTACTTCAACATTCGTCACATAACATCTAACAATCTAATTTTGGAGGTGACAAAATCGAGAGCTTTGGCGCTGACAAAAATTATCTTTTGACGCATCAAGTAGTAAATGCTATATCATTTACTACCGTGATATATGGTATGGTTATCAAAATATTCCTCTCATTCCAAACAAAACATAAGTAGATCGTTTTGCATACCATCAACTGGGAAGAAATGCTGTTACCGCGAGCTCCCCAGTTCAATGGAACCAAACACGATCTAATGCAACAAGATTGACTGAATTGTTGTTGTAAACTTTATCTGACAAACATTTACATGTATTTACAGGAATACTAATAGAAAACTCGCACTGTTTACTGTACTAAAGTGCCAGAACAAGAACTTTGGACGAGACCATTGTAAATCACAAAAATACTTCTAACTAAAATGGTTCAAATGTCCCTGACCAATTCCACGAAATGACAAATATAATTTACATGTTGTGTAATTCTGCTAAAATATTCATTGAGTATTCTCGAAAACAGACAATTTGTTTTCTAAAGAAACGAGGACGCCATGCTGGTTTGATACAACCCGCGTAACTGTTGATAGGCAGCAAATAGTTAGGTTGTATTAATGTTTCATGACAAAATGTCAACGTTCTCCAAGATATTTAAATGCTTATAGTTCCAGTCATAGTATCAGAGACTTGTTCTTATACGAATAAATATAGCAACATCTAAGATCGATATAATGGAAAGTATTTCAGCAATAGAACGGTACTGTACTCTTTGACAACACACATCAGTGCACATTACACAACAATGAGATATTTCGTTTTGAAAACTGTCCCAAAATTACTTATACGACAAACATTGAAGGCTACAAAATACACCATGACTACAACGATTTCAATTGTTTATTAACGGAAAGGGGTCCGCAGAACACACTTAAACGCGAGAGGCTGTTTTTCCTAAACATGATAATTGCGTGTTCTCCAATTAAAGAAATTACAGAATGACATGTTGGTAATGAGATAATGTTCCAAGTATGTATCAAGATATTGCAATTTTCACTTTAGAATACACTCGGATACCAATACAACGTTGAAAAAATCAATTCTAATTTGAATCAAAGTACGTAGTTAAAGAATGATGCCTGTTCGTAATGATCAGTGTGTAGGGATCTGGTTTAACCATTTGTGGCACAGTTAGGTATCAAACATTGTTTAATTTACGGTTCTCAGTCACCGCAAATCGGGTTTAAAGACTAAACTCGGCCAATATGTGTATTTTAATTTATATTGATAATAGGCCGCAAACACTGCTGAGCACGGCCCCGCGAGGCAGTGGGCACAGTCATCGAGCTGTGTCATTATCTTGTCAAGATGTGTATTGTACTTGATTAAATTTGAAAGTTGAATTTCCATCGTTCATGCAAATCACGTGATAGAACATGGTATTATGGCAAAAAGTAAAATTTAGATCGCGTTTGGCTCTTCAGGTAATTACGAGGACATTCACAGGAAGAAACCTCAAACATACAATCTTTATAAATGAGATTGCCAACAGATATAAATTTGAAATTTGAATATTTTTAACAAATGATTGCCTCGTTAATTACACAATGTCACCAATTGTGACGTCTTGTTTAGATTATAAAATGACGTCACACATTCATATTATTGCAAATGACGTAACAATGGAGACGATAGATATACAGCCGAAATTGCCTCACGTGTGACTTTGCAATGTCCTTTTTCTGCAATATTTTCCTGAATTATCGATCAGGTGAAGTGAAGGATTTACTATCCGTTCCATCTGATGCGATTTATGAAGCGCGTCTGAGAATTTTTCATTTCAGATCGCCTTTGAAATGAACATTCTTGTACTCGCTTCATAAATCATATTCCTAATGGAACTCATCATATAGAATCCCATATTTATTAATTAGATTTTTTAAACAATCCAGTTGTTAAGACTGGTTAGAGGTAAGCAGTGGTTACTTGTATTAGAGCAATCGGAGCCAGGCCGACAAGACCACAGTTGAGAAACCTTTATTCTGTACAGTAATGCAAAAACAACATGGGCTCTCATTGGCATGAACGTTCACTAAAGCCCTTCGTTTCATGTTTTTTTCATTCCCTCGTTTATTAACATGATAATGCAATGAACACTATTGCCAACTGATTGGCGTTCTCAATTTAAAATAATCAAGCAGCAGTAGGCATTATTCGTTTTACAATGTATGTCGAGTAAACAAGGTAGATATGTTAAAATGTCTTGCAAAGTTTGACTTAGATATGAAATATCATTTCAAGAATACGTGTATGTACAAGTTTATTGGCGAGTTTTGTTCATTTGTTCAATTTCAAAATCACTCAGAAAATACCGACGTGCAAAAATATCTTAATTCAACGCCAAATTCAAAAGAAAAATACGAACAAAAGAAAGATTTACACGGACCCTGGCAAAAAAGTGCAAGGAAAATTAGATCTGGTGTTTCGGAAGGATATACGTCTTCTGCTTCATGGACGGCACCCACCATGTAAATGTCTGAAATAATTGTTGACATTGTAATACTGACGTCTATAACATCTACGTTGTAGATTGTAGGTTAAGATGGAAATCCGGTGTTTCGCAATTGCCGATTATCACGGGGTGTATGAGGAGAATCTGCTAATTCACAATTGCGGAATATCACGGTGGGTAAGATGGAAATCCTGTGTTTGCTATTGCGAAATATCACGGTGGGTAAGATGGAAATCCGGTGTTTGCTATAGCGGAATGTCACGGTGGGTAAGATGGAAATCTGGTGTGTGCTATTGCGAAATGTCACGGTGGGTAAGATGGAAATCCGGTGTTTGCTATTGCGGAATATCACGGTGGGTAAGATGGAAATCCGGTGTTTGCTATTGCGGAATATCACGGTGGGTAAGATGGAAATCCGGTGTTTGCTATTGCGGAATATCACGGTGGGTAAGATGGAAATCCGGTGTTTGCTATTGCGGAATGTCACGGTGGGTAAGATGGAAAACCGGTGTTTGCTATTGCGGAATGTCACGGTGGGTAAGATGGAAATCCGGTGTTTGCTATTGCGGAATGTCACGGTGGGTAAGATGGAAATCCGGTGTTTCGAAATTGCGGATTATCATGGGGTGTATGAGGAGAATCTGGTAATTCGCTATGGCGGAATATCACGTGGGTAAGATGAAAATCCGGTGTTTCGCAATTGCGGAATATCACGGTGGGTGAGATAGAAATCCGGTGTTTCGCAATTGCGGAATATCACGGTGTGTATGAGGAAAGCAAACTCGTCCGTTATCAAAAGAGGTAACCTCTTCCCTTTGTAAATGCGTCCTGTAACAATGCATTATTGTTATATTTAATATACGTCTTTTGTGGATGTTCTTTGCTTATGATACTTATATGGTCGAACTTACATTTTTTCGAAGTGAAGACAGCAGTTGTAAACAAAGAGTACCAATTCCACTAGAGTGTTTTTGTATTGACGGAATGACCTCATCTCCTTCATAATGACTGGATCAACCCGTGACATCTGTTGGAACAAATTTCGAATCGATAACAAAAATATATGCAGTATTTGCATAACTCTTCTTTCAACACCATTCCAAACAAATTCCAAATTCTACATCAAATATGTAAGACGCGAGATGTTTGATATGAAGGTTTGACAAAACTAAGGTAATAAACAACTCTAAATGCTTTTGCAATGTGACACATCAACTGATACTTGTATGAATATCAAGTTTAATACACGCCATGCATTAAGAGATCAGTGTTAAAAACCGTTTTCTAACATCTAATGATCTGCACACTGATTTCAGTAAATGGTGGTCTGTGTTTTTGATGTAATGAAGGAGAAAAAATGCGACTCCTGATGTAGAGTGGTAACTATAAATACAAACTCATTGACATTCAAATCATTGCCCATTGTTGTACACAACTTAGAGGCAGATGAATATGATATTTCTGTTTGTTCTTTGTACGTTTCATAGGTACGCATGAAACTCCCTGAATTTGTACTAAATTCCGTACAAGTTTTGAAACATATTATATATGTATATATTTTCAAATGAGTTTTTATTTCATGAGATTTTATGAAACAAGTCATAATGTTGAACTTCTGCGTGCCTTGACGAGGAAACTTGAATGAATATTTCAAAATTCCATATGAAGAATAAACAAAATACTTCTCTATCACAGGTCTCAGAAATTTTGTATTTTGACAAGTTTTAAAAACAAAACGTTTATAAAATGGAGGCAGCCATTTTGTTACGCCTTTTTCTCGTTATGAAGTAACGACATTGTCTATATTATAATTATATTATATTATATATTATATAAGATGTTTGACATTAGTTGCATATACAAAATATATTATATGGGCGAATTCACTGGATAATGGGCCGTACATAACAGTATATCTTGTAAATATCATAATAAGTCTAACACTGATAAAGGGACGAGTCTTCTTCTGGAAAAGTGATTCATTTAACCAAAAAACATTCAACGCAATTTTAGCATTAAAGTGAAATTTTGTAAACTGCAACGTTTTCATATTACCGGAAAATAACCAGCAGGGTGACAAATAGATCTAGAACAGACAAGGAGAGAAGTGCAAAGGTTGTTTCTGAGTAGCAAGCACGTGCCCAATAACTAGTCGAATACGTACCCAATCGTTAGCGAAAGTGTCACAACCAACTGCATTGATAATGTCGATCATAGTCCCCCCTGTCCCTCCAAAAGTTGGCACTCTGAAATACAAAGCATCCTTGATGTCTAAAAATTAATTGTTAAAAAAGTTAAGCTATCTTGATTTTCCAAAAGTACGAAATATTACAAAGCTTAGAAGGCTTGAAGTACCAAAATTAAAAATACTACAAACGTAAGCATTCTCGATAGTTAAAGATTTGAAATGATACAATGCTACGTGTTCTATATACTTTATTATACAACAAAAAGAGAAGATTTATCTAACATGCCGTGAAACGACCCTGGAATGTAAGCATTTACCTTCTAACGTTGAATTCTGTAAAGTAGAACACTACAGGAGTGTTTTAAAGCTACCGCGCAATTTTAACAAAAAATCGAACAAAAAAAATATGTATTTTCATATAGGTAGAATTATCCTATCTGAGAAATACTCAAGACGATACCGTTGTATGAAAAGCTATTGAGATCTAAGTTTTGTATTCACGTCGTCTTCGAACCGAAAGTCGGAAAATCCTTTCCGTGAGGGGTCGGTATTTAAACTCATATAGGTCCTATTCAGGCTTCACGTTCTAGCATAACTATACAGCTTTATTTTACCTGTGATATGGCGTCACGAAAGGCGAGCAGCACGTGTGACATCTAATCTTACCCTAATTAACACGTGGAAATTTTCCCAGATTTTTTTTTTAATCAGCGGCAGTAACTGTATATTTTTGCATATTATCATCATTAATTCCAATGGGAGCTCGTTTTATTATCAACTTGTTGGACTAATAACGAGAAACTATTCACCAATCAACCTTGTTGCTAGTTATTACTTCAGACAGACATTAAATTACTTTGCACATTACACGTCTAATTTGATGTAAAAATAATTTGTTTTGATTTTCCAGCTTTCCTCGTGTGCAAATCACACGCCTGGCTAAACAGAATCGATTTATTACATTGGATTTCATTATTTCGCTATAAAAGAGAAATGTCGATTCACAATGAAACCAAATGAATGAGGTAACTACTTTTATAAAGACATTTGCAAAACTGTTAATTTCATAGAGCCGTGATACGTCACTGGTTGTTTGAGATATCTGTGTATACCGTTATCTAAGGCAAGCCGCCGATAGCGTGATACTGATACAGTAACAGTATACGTTATCAGAACACTCACCCCAGCTTCATGTCCCGGAGGACGTCCGAACCAGCGATAAGGACAAATCGAAGTCGCTTCTCGTCAGCCCAGAAGTACGGATGCCTGAAACCAACGTCAAATAGTTTTATTTTTGATCTTTTTTCGGAGTAGCCTGAGTTCAATGGTTAGTTGAAGTCCGATTCCGATACCGCTTTAATTCACACTGCTATCTGGCACAAATTGAGATTACCTTTCCACCCGAGGATGTGACATTTTCATCAGCCTCGAAATCGAAACCACAAAAAGTAAAAGACTACATGATTTGTTATATATTGATGTTTTTGTCTCACGTGCGACGCAGTCGCATAGCGAGATATAGGCGTTACGTTTTCTCAAGGGGGGGGGGGGGCTTCGACAAACAAATACAAGTGCGATGATCGCCAAACCTTCTTAACGGTGATAAGCTAGCGAGATCATCTTAGTGCCTGCTTCAATTAGTTGACAATTAATCAGATTCTTGTTAATGCATTATACCATGCTTAGTGTTTGGTATTTAGCTTTATTTCTCCACAAGTACATATCCATTATAAAGAAACCCTTGAATCTATATATATATAACCATCAAAGTAGACATTTCAGATTTAGAATTTCTCCAACACATTTAATGTTAATTGAACCTTGCTAATAAATTTGACCATCATTTAAAAGTTTATATATACATGTTATCCAAACTCAAAGCTTAGATTCAGTTTTCACCTTTTCTTTGATGTTAATTGCAAATTGTTAGTTTATTGTCTTATATTAGAGTTTCTTAGGTTTTGTGTTGAACTTGATTTCTCTTTCTCATAATCCAACCCGAAATGTACCTAAATGTATATGTATGACCATCTCTCCTGAATTTCACCTTCAGTTTACCGTTAATTTGTCCAATTAAAGTGCCATATTTTAGTTTTTTTGTTAAGCTCTAATCGGATTTCTTTCTGCGTACATATCTGCTTTCTCCAGGTGATAATGAGAAGCGTGGTACTCGAGACGTATAATTAAGTGTAAGTCTTGGAATTTTTTGGTATCGTTTTCGAAACGATCCCACAGTTGATGTGCTAGATAGAAATGGCTTACTTCAGTAGATCGCCTATACATGGTCTGTTATCAGGTGGCATACATAACATGTTGGACAGCAAATCGTTGACTTCGTCGCCGAGGTACTTGATATCCGGCCAGTTTTGCTGGATGCTGACTTGTATTGCAAGGTTGTTATCTCCGTATGGGTGTTCCCCCCCGGTCAGTACGTAGTACAATAACATTCCTGTTACCTATAAAGAGACACACGAGCACAGCAGACGCACCATCGCGCCGATGTACGCGATCATTCATTATATAACTGGTTATTAAAATTAGAAAAAAATAAATAAAAAATTAATATTCAGACGATATCAGAATCTGTACCAAAAATACACGATAAAGTCACATTTGCACTCATAAGAGGGTATATTCCGCAAAACATCAATTAGCTTTCAATAAGTATTTAAGTATTTACATATTTATATTTTCTTTATTTGGATATTGTAGATGTGTTTATTTATGTATTTCTTATTGATACATAAAATTCTATGATATTTAACGAAACAAATAACATGGTCAGAATAGGTAAATATGAAATGTGTGTAATGCGTCAGATGAGTGACTTCGGTTTGGTTCGGTTGCCATGGATGGTTATCGGTAACTAATTATACATCCATACCCCTGGCGATCCACTACTTTCTCCAAGTCACAGCACAACTGCAACGAAATCAACTTGGAAAAGAAGACAATCAAAAGCGACAAAACAAATGCGTATTCTAATTTAATTATGATTTGGGATGTCTGTGTCCTCCGGAATAGAAGTCAATTAAGATCGAGAAGTAACCGCATTGATTTGGCATTTTATTGAATTACAGACGCTACTATTCGAGTCTGTTTACTCCACACCAATAAGAAGCATTAAAATGTATTCTGACAACATTTTTTGTCACGGGTACCCGCACTCTTTCATGTGAAAGACACATTATTGCTTCAACGTAAAATGAATAGCAATATTCTATACTCATTATGTGCCTAGTTGCATTAACAATATGAACGCTCTGCAGTGTTTGGTAAACACTCACTCAGATTTGGAATACTGGATGAGCGCCAATCAAAAACTTAACCTATGATTGGGTTCCTTTTTCAATACACTTCAAAGGATTATTCCTAACCTACTAGAGTTGGTTCCGCCTCGAGCACTAGCTAGCTAAAAGCTATATACGCTATGCGTTACAAACGATGAACATCGAATAGGCCGTCAGACATTACCGGTGCGATGTAATGACAACAACTAGAATTGAATTCAGATTGCGTGATAAGTAAGGCCTTAAAAGAACGCGTTGGGTGACGTGAAGATTGTATAATCATGTTACTGTAGTAATGGACTGACTTCGGTAGACATAAAGAATTGATTTCATCATATCCGTTCGTGAGTGAATATAGGATTAATCAACATCAGTTTAATGTTGATTAAGATCGCGTTAATAAGTGAAATGGATTACAACGTAGTCGTGGTGTTAGAATATACATTTAAAGTAAAACTTGTCAGATAACGATACTACACATTACAATGTCACTCCAAGTAAAAGGATCATTATTTTCTCGTTGTCTGGGGCAGATTACTTGTACACACTAATTGGTCCATCATAGATGCTTATGATTTTTCTATTGTTCAGATAACCGATTGTGCGATCTTGTGAGGAACATAGGCTGGAATCGTATTACGCAATATCAACAACAGAGGCAACTACCACCACATCTAACAAAGACTCTGTCAGCTGGAGACATCCGAATGTGGGCAGAGACACATCGACAGAAATAACACTTAGACTAACATGTAAGTGATTAAGGGTAAATCTGGAATATCAATTTCTGAAGGTTTGTCCTATTGTTTAATTTCTAGAGATAGATGTACTTTTCCTCTAAAATGTCAAGGCGACACTGATATCTGTCAATCTATTTTCTGCTACCTCCTTACAAGGACACTTAAGTCATCGACATAGCATTTGAGACTGAAATAATATAGTTGAAATTGAGACTAAAATTGACTCGTTCCTGGTATTTGGCGTTCGGCCATTCGAAATTTGACCGCAGGCTGGATAATGTCAGCATGCCATTAATAAAGAACACATTTGTTAAATTTGTCTTCAATAAAAACGACCACGGTCTCCTGATAAAGAAGTGTATGATAAATATGTTTACCTACGTTTACGAAATTCATAAAGGAATTTGATCATAAGTGCATTACACAAGTGAAGATGAAGATGAATTAAGATAAAAAGGCATATAGATTGGGCCATGTATGGAAATTATTTGTATGGAACATATTAATACAAATGAGGCTATACTGGGTTCATGTATATGATGAAGAAACGTAAATGTAAAGGAGCTAAGGTACTTTACCTGGATGTCTGACTGTTTGTTGTAGGTTCCAGATTCCGTCACGATCTCTGTCGGCATCCAGCAGTACCTGTCGGCTGAAATAAATGGTCCTCAGGTTTACTCGTTAATACAATGTACATTTTCATCTTCATTAAGTGACCTTCATGAAAATAATTGTGTCTTCATGTAGAAAATAACTATCTGTGTGAGGATAACAAGAACACAGAAAATGCTGATGAACACACAAAACTAAGTTTTAACTCGAATTCGAAAAAAAGTGAGCAAAGACTTTTCTATAAAATATTTTTTATCAGATTATGCAAACATTTTAAGTAACTAAGCTTATACAAATTGTCCATCTGTCCATCTAACAATATTCCTTATGTAGTGGTTATATTGTGTTACAATAAGTTTTGAGGGTATTTTCAATTGGATATATTCTGTTGCTCGTCCATCACACTCCATTCCCCACCTCCACTTCCACCCCCACCCAACCCCCTCATTCATTTTTGTCCGTAAAACGTCAAAAACCATTTTAACCATCTTTGCATTTGGCATTGAAATCTCCTAAAAGTTATTCTTATATTCAGAAATGACAACGCTTGCTTTTATTGACATTATGCCACCAAAATACATTACAAAGATTACACACGTGCTGCCCTATCCACTTAACCATGAACAACCTATAAATAGTGTCGTGACCTACAGGCTACACCTTCTTTATTGGTACCCTGTATGACCGCTTACTGTCGTAACTCTTTCGTGATTTTGATGACAAAACCATAACTCGGGTAACATGAAACGCCTATATCTTTTATGAAAGTGAGATAGCAGAACAATTTTATCGCAATACCCCATTCGTTACATTACAACGTGGTGACAGAACACAATCACTTTTGTTTCATAGTAAATTTGACCATAAAGCTACCCTGTTATCATTTCAATACCACACAATAAAGGATTTTTTATGAACAAACTTGTGTACGTAATTAGCGGAACTGTAATCAGCTGTGACATTATGGCTATCGTGTCTGCCTTTACAACCTAAATAACAACAGGCCCCGGTTGTTCAAAGGTGAGTTAAAGCTAACTAGTGGTTAGTGTAAAATTCAAACTGCTGCCACTGAAAAACCAATAGTGTTAAATGCAAAATTAACACTAAAAGATATCTATCTGACCTGCCTTAACAATCCTATTGCTGTAAAATGAAAATAGAACACGAGGAAAGGAGTCAAATTATTCTCAATAAATGTTCATCTCATAAACATCAAGTTCTGTTTCATATCAACTTTCCGAAACCTATAGTGATGTATTACTACTACGTCGACAGGTCGCGCTGAAATTAAGATCGCTTGATAAATCATTACAAAATCATGTTCATGAAGAACAACTAAAGGTACGACATACAAAGGAAGTAAAAGAAAGATGGCAATGTCAGTGTAAATCGGTGATGAACTTAAAACGTATGTAACACACAACAGTTCATCAAGCTCCAATGTAAAGAACGCATTCTAGATAACGATAACGCAAACATAACCATAAGATATTGAAGGAAAACAAGAGTAAAAGTGTGCTAATGAAGACATATTCGAATGACATTCCTTTCTAATGTTAGCAATACAGCTGTACTTTGATAAGTAGCAAAAACATCGATAAAATTCCAACATGTCTACATTATCATAATCCAAACTCAAATTCCATAAAACAAAGGCCAAATATAAACAAAAGACAGATTTACACGGAGTCTACTGAAAAAAATATTAGGAGAATTAAACCAGGTGTTCCGGAAGAGTAAGCGTCATCTGCTTCATCGACGACACCAGCCATGTAAACCTTGGTCAATCGGATTAATTGGTGTTACGTTCTCAAATGAGAAGCAAGGTATACAACAATGGAAACAACAGGCAACTAATGATCACAAAACACGTGCAAGCTTCATATCACACAAAGATATAGAATATTTCTCAGTGAGATCACTATGGCGACCATAGAAATAATTTTCACCAACCTGCATCTTTTGAACAAAACTTTGCAACACCATGGTCAGTCTCGTTTATCGACGGTTTTGATCTTTTTTTTTCAATGACTACCGTGTAATAATGCCATCAATTCAATTTCCATGGAATTACACACGTGTCGCGTATCCCCATTCAAGTATTTAAGTTCCTTTACATCGAGAAACACTATAAGAGCCGATATGCTTGAATTGCTCAACTGTTCTGCAGCCCATAAAGAAAAAAGTCTTCGAAGGATGACACAGATGTATGATGCAGTTTTATTCATTGTTTTGCTCTGCCGTATCCAACTCAAATTTCTATGAAAAAGCGTTATTCACTTGTATAACTATTCAGGACACGGAACTCAAAATTATTTCTTTGTCATGCCGCTAACATAATATCAGTACATTTGTCATTCAAAAGACGTCACGTAAACAATTTTAAACAACTGACCTGATGAATTGGAAAGTATGTCAAGGTCATTCATTTTAACTAGAGACCAAGGGCCTTATATGTCACGCTGATTTTTTGTTGTTGTAACGCAAGTCATAGAAATCAACTTGCTAACAAAGTAAGACGAACGAAGTTTGAATAATTTCTTTTAGAAATTCAAATAAATTAAACTCAAAAAGGTGACTTTCCTATGTAACCTGTAATTAACTTGATATATGACTGCTGGTAGCATTACAGCAACTCCCTCTACATTCAAGTGTAATAGCTCAGCAATCAGATCAGCGACTCTGTCTACATTCAAGTGTAATAGCTCAGCAATCAGATCAGCGACTCTGTCTACATTCAAGTGTAATAGCTCAGCAATCAGATCATCGCTTTCCCCAAATTAAATCATCTTTATCATCAACCATCTTTACCTCCAGATAGTAACAATCATAAGCAGATAAACAGTACGAAAAGAATATCAATATTGTCAGGGTTTTTTCAGCTGAAAACATTTGTAGCCGCGTCACGCACACGGAACAGAAAATCGCAACTCACGATGGTTTTAACAACATGTAATGTTAAAGAAAGTTTATATCAACAGTAGTTCATATGAAGAGGCCAATCTCTAGTAGTAAAAAATGCCGTCAGTCCGTCGGTTTGACTTTGGCAATGGTTGAGGTGACAGAAGCTCCATGTGAAGTCATGTAACAACATTCAAAACATATGTTAAATACCTTATTTCAATTTTTCTATTTTTTTGATCACGTTTTAATTGGTAAGATGACATAATAATATTCCTTAGTGTAGCATAATGGTTCGATTTACTGTCATTTTAGTCTCTTTTTCAAACAAATTGAAAAAAATCAAAACTTGAATCGGCAATACTATGCAAAGGCTACTAATTCCATGTAACAGGATACGCATGGCTCTTTAACGTTATTGTTACAGATGTTAACGAAACGACTTGTCACAAACGAAACGGCACAAGCAATGTAGCCATTATTTAGTGTATGTATAGGATCTCAAATGAGGCTTCCATTTCATGTGAGATTTTATGAAACTAGTCTAGAATATTTTATTTTTTTCGAGTCCAACGTTCACCTTCGAAAAAAGCATCAAGTGATTTGACATTCGGTACTTTTATGTTACGTAGACCAAAAAAAAATGACACCATTCTAAATAGACTCCACACGAGAAAGTTTATCATTTTATGCTGTAACCTGGTAAGATCTACTTAAAAAAATATTTTAAATACCAGAGTAGAGAAATAGGAAAATGCCTGTGACAAAAAAAAAATAAAGCAATTGTTTGATTGGTAAAAACTTTAAAAAAGAGATGTAATCGCATGACTACTGAGAATTTTCCTATATCCCATCACTCCAGTGATGATATATGATTTGATTAAATCGTTCGTAAATCTTAATGGCAAAAATTATTATTACTTTTTCTTTATCAAGTTACTAAATTGCTGAATTCCCAAATGTCAACCGACAAAATGTAATAGAAACATAGTACACAATGACCGGAAATTCCTTCCGACAGGTTTTCTTCATTATTGCAAGACTGCAAAGAAAGCTATTACATGGTATATGTGATAGTAATGAGGCGTTTATGTTGAGGAGTAAAACTTAATTAGGATGCTACAGAGCAGTTCGATTAGATTGAAAAAGAAGCAAAGATTTCAAACAGAAACCACGCGGCCAGTTTTATCATGGTTTTACATTTGCAGCTACCATTGATCTTTTCAATGCTAATGAAGTCTTAAAGATGAGACGGAAATCCATGGCTAGCTGTTCCGACGAGATTCAAACAATTCGGAAAGAATTGCAATAACTCCAAACGACTAAAATGCTTGATAAAAAACATATACAATAAAACATGAAATCATTACAAAACGCAATAACTATCCCTTCGTTAATTAGGTTCGGGACTGTAATCTTACCTGGCATCGGGGAAGTTGGGATCAGAGTGCGAACATTGCCACCGAGGGGAGGTGGCAGAGAGTACTCGCTCAAACGCAGCTTCTCTTCTACATCAACCAAAACGTTACTAGGCTGTAGAACAAAAGATGGAATAAATCAAAACTATGACATTAAGGCATTCACTTATTTAAAGTAATGCAACAGAAAAATGCATGCATTCTCACCATGATGTTTTCGTGTATTACGTCACAGCTGTCGTGTAGAGACGCCATGCCCTTCAGTATCTGCCATGCCATCTTGTTGATAGTCAATGGGTCATGGTTGATGTCAATCTGTTTCAGGGCTAAGTACTCGGAGAGGTTGTACTCATGAAGGTCCATCGCCAAAAAGCACATATTCGCCTCAATACTGAAGGCCTGTAATGATTTTGTCAGTGGTTAATGCAAGGTGATGCATGCGGAACACACAGACTTCTAGATGAGTTACTTAAATGTATTCTTTTCATATTTTATCATTTTGGTAATAACAAAAAAAATCGCAAATTTTCTCGACCTCATAGAGTCATGACAGTAAAATTTAAACAGATCACTTTTTTGACCATGTTCTAAACAAGCATTACTTATCTCTTCCAGTTATTAAGATTGTAGCTGCATGGAAAATACGTTCAAATAGGTGAAGGATGGCAGCCTTCTATTGGATTCCGGTGAAACATTAACCATCAAAGAAGGCTTCGTGAATACAAACGGCGTTGAGAAGATATTGTTAAAGAAATGTTTATAGGTAAGCATGATACTGCAGTAGTCTCAATTTGTATATTGGTTTATCGATTGAAGCAGGAGACGCTTACTCTTTCGGAACATCTGGACCCGTATTCATGAAACCAGTCTCATGCTCAATCATAGATTTTGTGCTCATGCAAACTTTTTTTATAATTCTCCTAAATCATATAAAATAATACAAATGTCAAATATAAACATTGAATATAACTTTGACTTGAAGTCCTTTCAAAATTGTTTTAAAATCTTTAGCATAATCAGCCTTATTTATTACATCAGGGTTGAGCACAAAATTCATGCTTGAGCATAAGAACGGTTTCATGAATACGGGCCATGGTCTTATTCTCCTCGTCCTTTTTCAGGATCTCGGTGTAAATCTTTTTTATTTTCATATTTTGCCGTCGTTTTATGGAATTTTATCTTGGATTATAATTATGTTGACATGTTGGTATTCTAATTCTTTTTTTATCTTTCTTTAGGGTCCCCCCTCCCCTCCCCCCTAATAACCTCTTAAAGAAATCTACTGCTACAGCCTAGATGTAATTAGTTATGCTGGCGTAAAAACAAGCATTTATTCCAAGAAACAGTGCAAGGTCTTAATGTGTTCCAATGAAATATTGATGTTTTTATACAGCGTTATACAGAATGATACTGCACAACGTAGAACGTATTTAACGATAACGCACTAATGAGGCTGTAGTTGCGATTCAATATAAGCACAATTAAAAGGTAACAATATTGACAAATCTCTTAACGGCACAAACGAGGCGAAATCAATACACCCCTTCAACGGAGCTACAACGTGGTACATATGAGACAAAGAGCCGAAAACGGCAAAACAGATCTCGCGCTTACACTTATCTAAACCTTTAGAAGAAATGTTGTAATTTGTATAACAAATATCACACAGGACAGAACATTGTTGGAATAACCACGCCGAATAAGAAATAAGTACCATCATGCGATAAAGATGGAACAGAACTAGAACAATAAATATTTATGAACGAGATATAAAAAGAAAATAATAAGGAAGGTGATGTTTGAGTCAGGATTCACGAATTTCCAATCTGTGAGTTGTTGTTGTAATTCTTGTAACATTTTGTTGACATATGTTGAAGACTTTCAAATTTATACTCGATATGAAATACCTCAGTAATTGAAAACGTTGAAATTACTGACGCTATTAACTTAACCAAAATGCCAACTACCCTGACACAAAGTACAGTCAACATACCGCTCTACAACCCTTCAAAACGTCATATGAAGAGATATATTTCTGGGCAAGTATGTTTTTATTCTAAAAACACTGGATCATGAATTATTGTCGTGTTAAAACGACAAAAATTAATATTTAATTCCCAGTACATGCATGATTTTTAAATTTTTAAAATAATTCGAATTGAAAAGTGATGTTAGTACCACAATATTAACAAAATTCAGTAAAAACTGCGATCTGCTCTGTCTTGTTACACAATGTCCTCACATGTTCTTAGCCTGTCAAAACTCAATCATTGATGACGTAAACGGGTCAGAATGTACGTCATGACAATATGAAAAGGCTTAATATGTTTCTCTGTGTGTATTAGCTGTTTAATTGTTGTTTATATTGATTCCCTGTTTACATATCGGAAATTCGTCATGGCTATCTGTGAAAGGCAAAGGTGTTTGTTCACCGAAGAGAAACGTGAAAAAAAAGACATCGTGGGGAAGTATCGACAAGTGAAAGTAGAATCATCAGATGTTGTCAATACGTTTTCTTTAGAATTGAGATTTTGATATATGTATCATTGTGTATTGAATCATCCAGTAAAGATATGAGACAATACCACGTGTCAGGGTTTTATTTAGTTTTGATTATATAAGTGAATTTGATCCCTGGATTGAGACCTAAAGTAACGGTTATCGTCTAGATCGACTTTCTGACATTACCGACAAACTCACTTGAACCGGTGAAAAAAGTTAATCGAAATTTGTAACAAAGATTGTCATAATCGTTCTCTCCACTTTACATTTCGATTACACATTTTATTCGACAGATAATCCACACAGAGAAACATTTTAAGCCTTTTCAAATTCCTCGACCTGAATCCTGATCTCAATCTCAATGACAGGAAAGTGGGCATAGCGTTTACATCCTCAATAACTGAAAGGAGCGTTTTCATTGGCTAAGAAATGTGTGAAGGACAAATTCGAACAAAATTACGCATTCTTAGTATTTGTTGAATTTTGTTGATATTGTGATAATAACATCACTTTTAGACGCAAATTGTGCTTTGACTAGACTAAGAACTAGACTTCGTCTCGTGTTAAAACCAAAATTATCTAATTTCCAGTATATGCAAAGAAACAAACATACTCTCTCCTAAAAATAAAAAAAATATTATCCCACAAAAGATTTAAGAATTTAGCATATAATGACAACCATAGATAACCAAGTATTTAAAAATGAAAAAAACTGAGAAGATTGAAGTGAATTTAAATGAAATAATGGCCAATATCCAGTTAAACCTGATTTTCATACAACTATCAGGTTGTTGAACTTGTTCATCTTTCTTTTTTTCGACATATTTTGTGTATAAAAATATTAACTACTCCGGTAACATGTTCAACCTTATAGGAGAAAATACCTATATTTCTCTTCTTTTCTGTTGGCTGGCTCGCTTACCTACAGATCTTACCCGATTATGTACGTACCCGATATTTCACAAGAAAATAATGAGAGATATCGTGTGACGTCAGTTTCTCTAGAACGGCCTCTGTGATTGGTCGACAAGACAACTCAATGACGTGCACTGCCACCTCCGTGCCGTCCACCAGGAGTCCAAGTACCGCCCGTCCGTCTCTGTAAATAATGCACGAGACTTTGCTCTAATAAGGGACACACATATATCCACATATGACACGTGTGTACGTCTTTTGCAAGACACGCATGACATGCCTATATAAACGATATAAGTATGCGTACATTAGTTTCAAATATGTACAAATTCCTCTTTCACGTATCATCGTAACACCAGACATTAAAATGAAAATAGCCCATACATACTAGTCACTCTCATGAATTAAAGATGACATATTAAGTTAAATTGCGTTGAAGGTGTGTCAGAATTACATCACCAAGCATAATATACAGATACAGATAACGAATATGTTAATTGAAATCAGGAGATGACTAATATAATGGACAATTGATACAGCAGCGTATAAATGGAATATTTCACACACCCCTTGTCTCACCCCAGGGTTGAAATAGATACACATGCTATTTTGCACGTCCGAAAACAATTTATGTGACGTCACTGACGTCACACGGAAGAGGAACTACTTTTTTGAGGTCATACACACACTAGTTCATCTGCTACAGAAATCTTGTGTTATCCTCAAAACAGAAAATTTTAATATTATCATCTTAATCCACAACTTATTAAAAATATTTAAACTATCAGGAGTGTAATTTTGTTTGACGTTTGATTGGTATGTACTCTAGAATTTTATTTTGTGTAAGATTAAATCCCAATGCGTGAAGCGTCTGAGACTCGGACTCGTCACTATTCATACGCCATCCATGTATTCGTCTTGCATTTGAACAAGAATAATGGCAAGCCTCGTGTTTGAAAACTTAATATTATTATCAACCACGTGTTGAGATTCACCTTTCTCATTCTAATGGAACTGGGATATTTAATCAACCTTAAGTGACCAGGAGCGTGACACTGTATTTAAAGTTCCACAAGCTTTCATCCACAATATAGTGGACAGTTTTGTTGTGAACTTTAGATATTGCGCAGCCTATGAAATGTGTGTGGATATATACCAAAATACCACTGCATCATGTTTACGCCGCTAAAGCGATTACGTCAGCTTTGCGCGTGGGAGATGTCTTGTCTCTAGGGGAAGGCAGAAATAGGTATCCATAGCAATCACGGGAACGCGCCCGAGAACTGTGACAGAAACAAATATGATTTTTGGCGCCATGTAGACTAAACTTATTGTAGTCTTTATGCACGAAGTCGCCCCCATGCACAATCGCCTGATATTGTACAATTTAATTACTTCGGTCGCACTGCTGGTAATATACTGAAATGGGTCAGGATTATTAAGAACTACGCAGTAATATCTCGCCATGTCGTGCAATCTAAATAGATATCGGAATCTAATCATATTTCTGTAGAAATATACAACACATACATTTAATCAGTCGTACGTTTGACGTGCTATTTGTTTGTGAGACCAGACATCTGAAGTCATGCCGAAAGCCCAACCAAATTAAGTCAATTTCTAAGTTATCTCGTTTATAACTTTTATTGCATGTATTAAATACTTCCATCGTTCTATGTCTCATATTTGGTGCAAAATGACGTCATCTACATTTGTCTTTCTAGTGCATAACTGACAATGGATTAACGCAAGTTCTTTCAAACTTAAGGTTTTTGAAAGAGAGAAAAAATAGTTTTATGTGATCTTGATCATTTCATCTCAGTTTCGAATTGGTTTTTTATCAAAGTGTGCCAGAAGGACAGCTATGTCATACATTTTAGTTCATTGCTAGGTTTAAGTGTTAGATATTGCTCACTTAGTATTGTGATGTTCTAGTTACGTATTGTTTGTTATCTTAAAGAAACTACCATCGTAAAAGGACGACTGTATAATGAAGTTTTACAGATTTTTCCTCAACTGAAGTATCTGCTACTAAATTATGTGGCCTTTGTTCAAGTCTTCTTACCTTTTTTCTCGAATATGGAACCAGATAAATTTCTCTCTAACACATAAGTCTTTATCAAGCCAGCAAAACTTTGGCATATTGAAAACCATCGATGTACTTACGAGTAAGGAATGGTATACCGCTCCATGTGTTCCCTAGGAATGATAATATCTCCAATCTGTCTCAGAAAGATCGAAGGCATTTTCGATATCTCAGATATCTGATCTTTCCATCGTTTACTCTTCTGTGTCCATTTGATGGTGTCAATTTTGGCGAATCGCTTTTCTCTTTCTTCATGGAATACAGTCCTCTGATGTTCAATATTAGTATTCTCACCGGATATGTTCGTTCTTGTTAAGCTTGTATCCTCTATTATGTCCATGGCTTGTTGAGGTATGTTGGTTTGTTTGTTGCGTGTTCTCTCACCCAGTGTTAGTATTATCGCAGGATCATGGTCGATATCGGCGTTCTTCCGTGACAGTACTTGGCCATTTACTGGTATAGTAGGGAGGGTATCCGGTTGTACCTGTTGTGTAACACATGCGTTGGCAACACTTGCTGGCATCAAACTGTCCATTGATTTAATCTTCTCTTCGGAAATACCCATTGCAGAACAATAATAGGAAAAGTCGTGGCCATAAACAGAACCTTTAATTCCCTGCTCCTTGCCATGGACTTGGTAATAGTTGAGGAGCTGCAATTGGAGGAGCAATTCCATGTTCAACTGCGAAGATAAACCTGGAGATGACGGTTTAGTGTCGTCATGGAAACCAGGGAAAAACGGTAGATCATTGTTCTGATCACTAGCGTTGATGCTGTAGTTATCTTGTTTCTCTGAACTATCATCTGCCAAGTCTGAAGGAGGAAGCCACGTGGAGTCGTGTTCTGTAGGAATTGTTGACACATTTCTCAGTAGATAATCTCCAAACGAAAGATTGCGTTGATCAGTTTTATCTGTTTCCTTAACGTGACTGTTGGAGACTTCTGTAGTCCGTTTCCTATTGGACCCGTGACCTATCGGTTGTATAACTGCAATGTTGTGCTTACTGTCTGCAATGATGTGCTTAGTTTCTTGTGGTTTCAATGGAAGTTGATTCACCGTCACCTGCTCTCGCCTACCTTCTGGCATCTTTGTATGTTGTATCTGCTGGAGCTCCTGAATCTGCTTCAACATCATGGTTGGAGTTTTCTGCGGATTATTTGAAAGGACTTTGTTTGTCTTGGCCTCTGAATTGAATGGTGTACACGAATTCTTCAGCCAGTCCTGCACGGCATCGGAAAACCCTCGTTTCTCCAGCTCCGGAAAGTATTCTTCTCTAGCATCTCCTTTTCCTTTCTCAAAATTTTCAGCATTCTGTTCGGCTACATTTGGTTGTTCATGACTCTGCGTTACTTCCTCAAAAACCCATTCATTTGGTGTCAATGTTTTGGCGGACGATAGAAACTCGAAATTATGCTCTTCGCTTCTTTTAGGTAAACCAAGGAAGTCTCTCTCCTTCGAATTGTTTGGATGTGGTTCTTTAGCATCTGGTCCTTTCTTTTCAAACAAGACGCTAGCTGCAATGTCAAACAGTTTAGTAGTTCGTTCGCATGCGATCTCTGTATCAGTCACATCTTTCTGTTGTGCGCAGGCTTCCCATCCACAATCCGAGCGATCCTCTTTTGCCGGTGAAATATAGATTTCGCCACTGTGAATTGATGAACAACAATCCGCTGCAGCCTTGTTGTCGAAGTATCCGGAAGATGGTGTTGTCCTGCCACAGTCTCCATCCGCGACACTTTCAGTTGACGTGAGATCTGAGCGAACATCTTCACTGTCTGTTGTAGTACTTTCGACAGCAGCAATAAAATTGCACACACGTTGCTGGGGGTCCGGTTGCTCTGGTGGCAATTGTTGTTCGCAATTACACTGTTCTTCTCTGACGTGTGAAACTCCACCTAGAGCAGGAAAGTTCTCCTCGTACGCCTTCCCTACAACTTTGTCGGCATACGTCTTTTGCACTTGCCTAGCTTGTTCTTGTTCCGTCTCAGTGATTCCGTTGCCTTTAACCATGTCGGCCCATCTAGGAACATTGTTTGCTTTATTTCCACGTCTTTGACGCTGGTTTGGACGCTTCTTTATGTCATCCTTTTTCATTTCGTCAATGTGGTGGTTTGTTTCCGACTCCAATTTTTGATCGAGACCAGACATAGACTCGAGAGCACCTTCAATGCTTTTGTTTGTCTTTGCTCGTTCCTTCTTTCCTTGCACGGTTACCCACTGATTTTCGTTGCATGCATCATAGAAATTATACAGACACTGTTCCGCTGCACCTGCTGGGGCCATCGTCTCCATTTCCGAAGGAAACGACCCGCCATCTTTGTTTTCACTATTTGGTAAATTTCCAAAAGTTATATCTCCTAATTCCCTCTTATTTGTTTCCTTCTCGCTCTTGAATTGAACAGGTGGTCGCTTAGAAATGATGATAACGTCATCCGGTATATTTTTTGATGGCATGGGGGGTTTCTTGGAGATCGTAATGACGTCATGATTCGTCTGCTTTACTGGAACATCGGGTTTCTTGGAAATAATGACGACGTCATCTTTCGTCCGGTTGTCTTTCATGTTTCTTATGTCTTTGCATGCAACCTGTGGTTTGGTAGACACTTCTATGTCGTTACCCGCATCCGTACTACCTACTGTTGTTTTTCCTTCAGAGTGGCAGTTTGTGGTCGGCGTACTCTCTTCACTTGGCTTTGTAACGGCAGTCTGTACTCCTTTCCGTTGCTGCCGTTTGGTCTGCCTCTTTTGTATTTTCTTTTCTCTTTTCTTTGTTTTCATCATTTTCTCGTGTTCCTCTTCCTCGAGAAGCTCCGCCATTTTTCTATCCATTTGGTACTGGGTCATCTTTTCAAAATACTCCCAGAAATTGGTCCAAATTGCGACTCCTTTGTCACCAAAACTCTCTGCAGCACTCTTTGAATTGTTATAATGTGGTTTGACATCTGTATGTTGTATAACCTTAGTGCTGTTCTTCTCCAGCCATTCCTTTCCATCTGATGTTTGACCCATGCAGGCTAGCGGGAAGAAACACGCTACCAGTGTTTCGGGTTCGGTTCTTGGAGTATCAGCGTAGCACTTTAGCGCCTTGATGAGGAATTCCGGTCCACGACAGCGGATGAACTGTATTACAACGGCCTCGTCAACAACGACAGCATGTTTAGTCATAGAGAGCGAGACGACAAAGCAAATACCGGTTATACATACAGGTTGTTTCATTAGCTTGGTAAACACGGCCACTGCACTTGGAATGAACTTTTGTTTTAAAATGGCGTCGCGGAACTCCTTCATAGTGGCAAGGCGTTTGAACATCGGAATTAGTATGTCCTCGTAAAAAGCCATTTCGTTCTCAATGTCGTGTTCACAAGAAGGAGTTTTCATCCTTTCTGTGCGACTCTAGAAAGAAGACATAAATATATCATTAAAACAAGTAAGTAATCACGGATTATATACTCATTAACGCTCGACTTTTAAGGCAAATTCTGAATCCTAAATCACGCAAATCTCATGTTTGCTCCATGTGTACACTTTGTATTAAATACCTTGATAAACTGTTCTTTATCCTTGGGTGACATCTTGCTGAGTATCAAATTGAACGAATCAAATTTCTGGGAGTCGAAAGCCCAGCAAACTGCCGTCATTCCAGCCTGTAAAGAAACAGTGTGTGATTGGTCACACATATCATGTGATTAAAATGAAACGTCATTTGCTTCAATAATTTAATCCTGCAAGAAACAAGCGATTTCACTGGATGAATTTTTTATGACATTAAACCTCTATTGAAAAAAATGTAGTATTTGTAGTGAAACTGTGTCTAAATTTTGCAAAGACAACTGTTCGTATAAAATGGATTGACTTACAAGCAACAATTTTATTCCCCTTTACTTACTGGCCACCTAGTATCATCCAAACTACTGGAGTCGGTGTATGCAGAGAGTGAACTGCGGCTGATATCTGTTTTGTGGATCCACAACTTCAGACACAGCTGACATATGTTTTGTGGATCTACAACTTGAGACACAGCTGACTTTTGTTCTGTGAATCCACAACTTAAGACGAAGTTGACATCTGTTTTGTGGATCCCCAACTTGAAACATCTGGTTTATGGATCCACAAATTTAGAGACATTTGACACTTGTTTTGCAAATCCGAATCTTAAGATATCAATTATGTTCAAAATTATTGTTGTCGATCATAAAACTACATGAAGTTTACACCAGTACAACGCTCGTGTATTTCGTGTTCTCGGATAAATAAGATGGTTTAACCTACAATGTGTCACCAAATTATCGCTTTATTCATTCCTAAATGATGAAGCGGTGGTTTAAATAATAGCATTTATATGTCTTCAATGACAGTATTTAGTGACAGAAACTAGTCAATACATGTACATCATCTATGGTGGTGGTAACGCGCTCGCCTTTCACTGAGACGTCCGGGGTTCGATTCTCCGGAACGGACGTGAAAAGGTATGGGATCTCCTTCCCGGCCACATGAATTTTCCCCGGGTACGCCGGTTTCCTCCAACCGTCAAACTCCTCACACTCTTCCATCCAGGCCAACAAGAATGATTTATATAAGTAGGCAAAACTTATTTCGCAACTGTTCTAAAAAAAATCAAGTTTACTTAACTTTTCATATGATGCATTTGAAAACATAAATTAGTCCCAGACCTTCCTATGATGTACTTGGTGACGCAATCAGTATCAATGGCCGCGTCCACGAGACGTTGTTGGTTAAAATGTCGTGCAAAAAGATACTCACATAATCTTCTAAGAGGTAGTCGGCACCTAATGACAGGAATTTTTCTACAGTTTTGGCATCGCCTTTCATTGCGGCGATCATCAGTGGTGTCAACCCTTCCTAAAAGGAACATAAACATAAAGATACTACAGATGTACCGTCGATATGAAAAAGTTCTAAAGCGCCATATAGACTTACTCATTAAACTCTTTTGTTTATAAAAATATACCGAAATCAACAAATGTCTCTTTAGATTAATGATTTGGTGAGTTAGTAAGTTTTGTCTATGATTGAGACGGTATCGCGACAGTCACGTTGTTCTGTCTATTGATGTTAACATTGAGAGGGAATCAAGACAGTTACGTTGTTCTGTCTATTTATGTTAACATTGAGACGGTATCACGCACTCACGTTGTTCTGTCTATTTATGTTAACATTGAGACGGTATCACGCACTCACGTTGTTCTGTCTATTTATGTTAACATTGAGACGGTATCACGATACTCACATTGTTCTGTCTATTGATCTGTGCTCCGTTAGTCAGTAGGAAGCCGACACAAGCTTCCCACAACTTTTCGGCAGCAAAGTGAAGGGCAGTTTGACCCTCCTGAAAGAGAAAATGCAACTTTAGTTCATAGACAAGCTCTTGATCCTTCAACTTACACTCGTAATGTATACCCGTGTCATTGAACAAACATGTCGGTTACTCAACAGTGTACATGGATGCATGTTTTTACAAATATGTCATAAATTGCCGAAAATTAAGGCATAATTCACTTTTAGTATTCGCATTTGCCTCTTGTTTTTTTCTGAGAGGTGTTTAAATAAGGTGTTATTAAATAAAGTATCATTGATACTCCAGGGGTTACGATCTCTTTTGCTCTCTGCATCCCTGGATCGTGTCATGGCAAAATTTAAGGCACAATCGGAGCTATTTGATGGATTCCAGGAGAGAAAAAAACTGACCAGTCTCTGGCTGATACGCTTCTTTTGAAGATTAGAAAGGAGTGACATCCAACTCAAAAGCCATCACAATATACCATTATGCAACCTCGACATTCGTTTCAGAGGATCAAACTAGTTTTTTCCCGTCTTTTCCACAAGGTTTCGCACATAGAACCTCCAATTTTACCATGACATGTCCCAGGGGTGCAGAGAACGAAAGCGATTGTAACCGCTGGAGTATCGAGGATTGTTGATAAAGTAAACTGTTACTCCTTTTTGGAGATTAAATAATGTTGAAGGTGATACACACAGTAGAGATTTAAAAGTTTCCCGTAGATTATCATAAACATCTCACGAGTATGACAGAATATCAATATTTTTCATGATTGCGAAACACAAAGGAAAAGTAACAGATACATTTTGTGAAAGAAGTGAACAGTGAGATTAAACGGGACACCACTGAATTTTCGTTTAATCACATTTTAACGGGAAAATTATAAAGATACCAAAAAAAATCATTTAAAAAAAACAAACAAACAAACAATCCAAACATAGAATAAAGCTTTGTTCAAACTAGAACTGTCGCCAGGATGGTTGTCTAATTCCCCTACTCCCCAATCAGCAATAGTTTTGGAGGGGTTGTCCCAACAAGATTCCTCCAAGAGGTCTTCGTTTGATCACTATTGCAAACAAATGGATTTTTTTCGAGAATGGTATCACCTTTCTTAACCTTTTTATTTTATACCAGTTTTCAACTTAATTAGACCAATCAGATGACTCCAAAGTGTTAGCATAGTAACGGTGTTGGAACACCTAATACATGTATGTCCAATGATAGGCTATAATTACCTGTAGCATTTGTTCATGTATGAATGAAAAGTGAGAGAGCACAGCTCTATACAAGTATCATAGGGATGTAATATGCCAAGTTCGAGAAATATTGCTTCAGTACTTTATAAGATGCACTTGACACAATATTCTAAAAAGAATATCTACAAAAAGGGGCATTACTCTAACAAATGTTGATGAAATTTTATGAAAAGCGAAAGGGCACAACCATATATTATAGGGATGTAATATGCCAAGTTAGCGAAATATTGCTTCAGTACTTGGTCAGATCTACTTGACGCAATATTCCATACAGAATATCTACAAGGGGCATAACTCTGCCAAATGTTGTCGAAATATTACGAAAAGCGAAAGACAACTTTATATCATAAGGATGTAGTTTGAGAAATCGACACAATATTCCGTACAGACGCACGGTCGAACGGACGGACGGACGGTTAGACAGGGTGATTTCAATATACCCCCAGAAATGTTCACGGGAATTGTGTGAAATCCATTTAAACTTCTTTTCGTTTTCGTCCGAAAAGAAAAATCGGCTAGTCATCCATATTCTCTCATTTCTACCTGTATAATATAGGTCTTCCAGACCAATACAACGAGGATGGCCGTTTTTGTATTGCACACTCAGCCAAGCAATACAGGTACGCGCCCGTAGAAATGTGACGTGTCCCTTCCCAATTGACGTCATCGCATGGTCATGGTCAGTGTCTTAAAATATAAGCTGTATTTTGGCGAGGACGAAGAAAGACAAAAAAGTATCGAGACACTGCCAATGTATTCTATTTATCCTGCAACATTGATTGAAATTAGACTATTGAAACTTCAACAGTTTTCTCGTGTCCAGTACTCACTGAGTTGGCGTGATTGATGTCCAGGCTCCCGCGGTAAGGCCAAAGAGCGTTCACAAGCTTGGCGTCTCCAGTCCTCACAGCTATGCAAAAGGAATTGTTCTTTTCCTGAAGCCAGGTTAAAAAAAACAGAAGATGTAGACATGCCAACAAAATCTACATTAAAAAATCGATAACAATGACGGGAAAACAGAAAGGCTTTTTTTTCAAACGGAGATCTATAAAGAGAACAAAAGTGTTCTGGGAAGGATTAAGTTTCTAGTAATTCATCGGCGACACCCGCCATGTAAAACTCTGCGTCAATCTGATTGATATCACATGTACTGCAGTATACAAGACCAGCGGAGAAATTAAAACAAAACATTCAAAAATTGTTTAAGAGCACTTCCTGACAGTTCATCCAAACAGTGTCATATTTAAGTGACCAAGATACATGTAGCCATGCGGTTAAATGCCTTACCATGTTGACCGCCGTGACGTCAGCACCGTGTTTGAGAAGGAGCTCGGCCATCTCTGTGTGTCGATTTTGAGCAGCCAACATCAGTGGGGTACTGGCATCCTACGAAAGACACACGGAATTTTCGTCCGAATATTTTAAAAATTAAAAATACCCAATGTTTTTGTTCTATATCCAATTGTTTAAAGTATTTTTTCAGAAGCCATCTTTTGGGTTTTCGTGACCACATCAATGTATATGTAGCATATCGGTTTTGGTTTTTACATTTACATAGTGCTATTACAGTCTCTATTACTCAGCTTACAGAATGTGCGTGTGTGAAAGAACAAGGGAAATACACATTCTGGTCGAGGAATCGAACCCGGGTCTCTGGTGTGATAATCGACCGGCTCTACCAACTGAGCCAAAGCAGCATGCACCGTCAGACAGAGTGACAGAGACCATATTTATCACTGTATACAAGTCACACCAACCCATTCCTTTTACACGTGATATAAAAGAAGAGGAAAAACACGAGCGTCCCGACAAGAATCGAACCCAGATCTCCGGTGTGATAATCCATATTTCTACCAACTGAGCCAAGGAAGCGTGCTCTGTCAGCTGGGCGACAGAGACTTTATCTAACAATATGTGCGAGTTATACCGAACCATTCCTTTTGCAGATAGTTATTGGAAGATTTTACCCAATGTTGGAACCAAATTTTGTCCAAGTTCAATCATGGGAAACATATTCATCGCTTGGTATGTTCTGATGTCGCCAAAGTGTTCTGAGAATTTACGATTTTATTGTTTGTCTGGTTTTTCGCATTTGCGGTCTATTCAGGCAAAGATAAAACAAAATTCCGAGTTGATACAGTCAGAATGCTGCGGAATACAATGTAGTTATGATGATGACGAAAAACTACCATAATTAATGTACAGCTGAAATGATGTGCGTTTTACGTGCAATCGCCAGAGGTAAATGGATCCACGACAGTGACTGTGCCATTAGACTTAGCATGGCAAAGTGTATCACTTACCGCTGATGACCTCACATTCACATTTGAACCTGCGTCCAGAAATCGACGCATCACGTCGACGTTGCCCATTGCAGCCACGAGACAAAGAGGATCCATCCCGATCTGAAACTGAACACAATTAACATTACTTAGTCGATTCTGTCTAGATCTATAGATAACTTATTTAAACATACTGATCATCCACCTAATCTCGCCATGACATTGGACAATGTTTGTTAATTTGTATGTGACAATGGTCATTATTTATTTCAATGCATCCGCTAAGATTCGAACCCGGAACCATTCGAAACGAAATATTCACTTTGTTGAAAAATCTGCGTTCGAAATGTCATGACTTTACCAACAAAACGTGGCTTTTTAATAATTTGTAAGCCTTAGCGAAGACAGGTCGACGATCAGCATTTTTTTTTTCAAATGAAACATTCCCCCCTCAATCTCTTCAGAGAACATCTTCGGGCCATCGTTATAAGAATTCAGAGTTTCCAAACTTATCAACTTTTATAACTGACGTACCAGCTGATCTTGTGTTGCCAGTTTCAGAATATCTTCCGGGGTTCCTTCTTTGTCCTTCAGTAGTTTGTCCAAAATGTCCATGCATTGCTCTGCTATGCTGGGTCCGAATGGCAGAGATTCCTTTTGTTTCGAAGTTTCATGAATGCAAATATCTCCTTTGCATTGTTTGCATTTCTTGGTCTTTTTACCAAACCGAGTCGCCATTTTCACACCAAAATATTGAACTTTGAGAAGTTCTATACTTGTGCAAAAAATGTGAATGTTATGAAACGTCTTCGTATATTGATGACGTCATTTCACCTATGACGTCACAATACCATTCATTTTCCGCGAAATGACGTTGTGCGACATGAATTCATTCAACGAGACGGGTTATCTGTCTGAATGACCTGAAAGACTAGAACTCAGCTATAAAAGTAAATTTTCGAAAAGGACGATGTGGAAAAGTACAAACACGGGTACAATTTCGACTGGAATTCAAATCTGAAACCTTCGGATCAACATACAAGATACATTCGCTTTAGTATGTAGATGTAAATGTGTTCTTGGTGAGTGTTATTTGAAACCTACTTTTGGACAGTATTACAGAAATTACACTTTCACAACAGCTAAGGGTGGTCGGGTGACGCATTCACCTCGCCGTCCGCGGTTCGATTCCCGGATCAGAAGTGAAAAGGCAAGGGGGTCACTTGCCCGGCCACGTGGGTTTTCCCTGTGTACTTCGGTTTCCTCTCGCATTAAGACCCCCGTGCGCTTCCATCCGGGCCACCAAGAGTGATTAAAATAAGCTGAAAGCTTGTTCTGCAATTGTTCTAAAAAAGATAAAGTTTATCTGTTACAGGACATAATATGTAACACGTCCTTGTCCTTGTCGCCGTTCATCTAAAACTAACAGTTAAAAACGGGGTCGTAAATTTAAAAACTTGGCTTCGTTTTAACACCCTCGGGCGGGTCTCCCTGGAGAGTGATATCAGCAGACAATGGGGACAGTTCTGAAAATAAAATATTTGATGAATCATAGAGCTAAACATTCATCTTATATTGTATGTCTTGAATCTCGTCTTGTTGATTCCGTCAGAAAAGAGTCTGTTTCTTTTTGTAAAGTAAGCCTGGATTCCATGTGTAAGCACTTACCTGATCATTTCGATATCGTGAACACGTACATTTCCATTCTGTACAAAATATAAACTTTATTTATCTTACAACAACAGCGAAACAAGTTATTTCAATTTTAACTAATCACTCCTGTTAGCCCGGATGTAAGCAAGCGAGGGATTTCACTGTGGGAGGAAACCGGAGTACCCGGGGGAAACCCACGAAGTCGGGCAGGTGACCCCTGACCTTTTCATGTCTGTTCTGGGAATCGAACCCCGGACATTGTCCTTCAACTCATCTGTTTTTTTGTCCGACACCTTAAGTTAATTATTGTGTATATGGGCCCTGAAGTTGTAACAGAATTGAAAGGTAACTTGCTCCGTCCGTCTGGAGAGCCATGTCATTTTTGCAGATAAGGTAGGTAACACTTGCATAAAGTTTGATTTTGAATGTCTCGAAATGGAATTCAAAATAATTTTATCCAAATGCCTAATCCAAGAAAAAGTTATAGTTGTCCAATCCTTTAACGGAATAAATATATTAAATCTCTCGCTTGTTTTATAAGATTTTAACAAATTCGGCACCCAAAAACGATACTTGAATATTAGCTCTACAGAATCTATGTGAAAACTTTCTCGTCCTTTGATGAACGTCCACAACAAAGTATTGAAAAGGAGTTCAGGGATTAACGTCAATAACAAAGTATTAGACAGGAGTTCAGGGATTAACGTCAACAACAATGTATTGGACAGGAGTTCAGGGATTTACGTCAACAACAAAGTACTGAAAAGGAGTTCAGGGATTAACGTCAACAACAAAGTATTGGAAAGGAGTTAGGGATTTACGTCAACAACAAAGTATTGGACAGGAGTTCAGGGATTAACGTCAACAACAAAGTATTGAAAAGGAGTTCAGGGATTTCCGTCAACAACAAAGTATTGGACAGGAGTTCAGTAATAACGTCAACAACAAAGTACTGAAAAGGAGTTCAGGGATTAACGTCAACAACAAAGTATTGGAAAGGAGTTCAGGGATTGACGTCAACAACAAAGTATTGAAAAGGAGTTCAGGGATTAACGTCAACAACAAAGTATTGGACAGGAGTTCAGTAATAACGTCAACAACAAAGTACTGAAAAGGAGTTCAGGGATTAACGTCAACAACAAAGTATTGAAAAGGAGTTAGGGATTGACGTCAACAACAAAGTATTGGACAGGAGTTCGGGGATTAACGTCAACAACAAAGTACTGAAAAGGAGTTCAGGGATTAACGTCAACAACAAAGTATTGAAAAGGAGTTCAGGGATTAACGTCAACAACAAAGTATTGAAAAGGAGTTCAGGGATTAACGTCAACAACAAAGTATTGAAAAGGAGTTCAGGGATTAACGTCAACAACAAAGTATTGAAAAGGAGTTCAGGGATTAACGTCAACAACAAAGTATTGAAAAGGAGTTCAGGGATTTACGTCAACAACAAAGTATTGGACAGGAGTTCAGGGATTTACGTCAACAACAAAGTACTGAAAAGGAGTTCAGGGATTAACGTCAACAACAAAGTACTGAAAAGGAGTTCAGGGATTAACATCAACAACAAAGTATTGAAAAGGAGTTCAGGGATTAACGTCAACAACAAAGTATTGAAAAGGAGTTCAGGGATTAACGTCAACAACAAAGTATTGAAAAGGAGTTCAGGGATTAACGTCAACAACAAAGTATTGAAAAGGAGTTCAGGGATTTACGTCAACAACAAAGTATTGGACAGGAGTTCAGGGATTTACGTCAACAACAAAGTACTGAAAAGGAGTTCAGGGATTAACATCAACAACAAAGTATTAGACAGGAGTTCAGGGATTAACGTCAACAACAAAGTATTGAAAAGGAGTTCAGGGATTAACGTCAACAACAAAGTATTGAAAAGGAGTTCAGGGATTAACGTCAACAACAAAGTATTGAAAAGGAGTTCAGGGATTAACGTCAACAACAAAGTATTGAAAAGGAGTTCAGGGATTAACGTCAACAACAAAGTACTGGACAGGAGTTCAGGGATTAACGTCAACAACAAAGTATTGAAAAGGAGTTCAGGGATTAACGTCAACAACAAAGTATTGGACAGGTGTTCAGGGACGTCAATAACACAGTATTGGACAGGAGTTCAGGGATTAACGTCAACAACAAAGTATTGGACAGGAGTTCAGGGATAAACGTCAACAACAATATATTGGACAGGAGTTCAGGGATTAACGTCAACAACAAAGTATTAGACAGGAGTTCAGGGATTAACGTCAACAACAAAGTATTGGACAGGTGTTCAGGGATTAACGTCAACAACAAAGTATTGAAAAGGAGTTCAGGGATTAACGTCAACAACAAAATATTGGACAAGAGTTCAGGGATTAACGTCAACAACAAAGTATTGAAAAGGAGTTCAGGGATTAACGTCAACAACAAAGTATTGAAAAGGAGTTCAGGGATTAACGTCAATAACAAAGTATTAGACAGGAGTTCAGGGATTAACGTCAACAACAATGTATTGGACAGGAGTTCAGGGATTTACGTCAACAACAATGTATTGGACAGGAGTTCAGGGATTAACGTCAACAACAAAGTATTGGAAAGGAGTTAGGGATTGACGTCAACAACAAAGTATTGGACAGGAGTTCAGGGATTAACGTCAACAACAAAGTATTGAAAAGGAGTTCAGGGATTAACGTCAACAACAAAGTATTGACAGGAGTTCAGTAATAACGTCAACAACAAAGTACTGAAAAGGAGTTCAGGGATTAACGTCAACAACAAAGTATTGGACAGGAGTTCAGGGATTAACGTCAACAACAAAGTACTGAAAAGGAGTTCAGGGATTAACGTCAACAACAAAGTACTGAAAAGGAGTTCAGGGATTAACGTCAACAACAAAGTATTGGAAAGGAGTTAGGGATTGGTCAACAACAAAGTTTGGACAGGGATTAACGTCAACAACAAAGTATTGAAAAGGAGTTCAGGGATTAACGTCAACAACAAAGTATTGAAAAGGAGTTCAGGGATTAACGTCAACAACAAAGTATTGAAAAGGAGTTCAGGGATTAACGTCAACAACAAAGTATTGAAAAGGAGTTCAGGGATTAACGTCAACAACAAAGTATTGAAAAGGAGTTCAGGGATTTACGTCAACAACAAAGTATTGGACAGGAGTTCAGGGATTTACGTCAACAACAAAGTATTGAAAAGGAGTTCAGGGATTAACGTCAACAACAAAGTATTGAAAAGGAGTTCAGGGATTAACGTCAACAACAAAGTATTGAAAAGGAGTTCAGGGATTTACGTCAACAACAAAGTATTGGACAGGAGTTCAAGGAGTTCAGGGATTAACGTCAACAACAAAGTATTAGACAGGAGTTCAGGGATTAACGTCAACAACAATGTATTGGACAGGAGTTCAGGGATTTACGTCAACAACAAAGTACTGAAAAGGAGTTCAGGGATTAACGTCAACAACAAAGTATTGGAAAGGAGTTAGGGATTGACGTCAACAACAAAGTATTGGACAGGAGTTCAGGGATTAACGTCAACAACAAAGTATTGAAAAGGAGTTCAGGGATTTACGTCAACAACAAAGTATTGGACAGGAGTTCAGTAATAACGTCAACAACAAAGTACTGAAAAGGAGTTCAGGGATTAACGTCAACAACAAAGTATTGGACAGGAGTTCAGGGATTAACGTCAACAACACAGTATTGAAAAGGAGTTCAGGGATTAACGTCAACAACAAAGTATTGGACAGGAGTTCAGTAATAACGTCAACAACAAAGTACTGAAAAGGAGTTCAGGGATTAACGTCAACAACAAAGTATTGGAAAGGAGTTAGGGATTGACGTCAACAACAAAGTATTGGACAGGAGTTCGGGGACTGATTAACGTCAAACGTCAACAACAAAGTACTGAAAAGGAGTTCAGGGATTAACGTCAACAACAAAGTATTGAAAAGGAGTTCAGGGATTAACGTCAACAACAAAGTATTGAAAAGGAGTTCAGGGATTAACGTCAACAACAAAGTATTGAAAAGGAGTTCAGGGATTAACGTCAACAACAAAGTATTGAAAAGGAGTATTAAC